AGACACCAATGGTGATCCACACCCCTGCGCATATCTATCCGAAGGACTATCAGCAGCCGAACGGAACTACGAAATCTATGATAGGGAACTTCTTGGGATTGTCCGAGCCCTCAAAGCCTGGAGACACTACCTGGAGGGATCAGAACACCCTGTCGCCATCCTATCCGACCACAAGAACCTCACGTATTGGAGAAGTCCACAACAATTAAACCGACGACAAGCCCGATGGGCACTCTTCTTATCCCAATTCGATATACAACTGGAACACACTCCTGGCACAGCAATGATCCAATCCGACGCACTGTCAAGGCGGCCCGACTACCGCATAGAAGGACAAGACGACAATCAGCAGCGAACCCTATTACCTGACAACCTATTTGTGCAACTGGTCGATACACGACTCGCCCCTCAATTCAAACAACTAGCTCAACAAGACAAGCTTTTCTGTGATGCGCTAGCTGCAATTCGTTTGCAGGGACTCCCGCCAATCAAAAGCTCCCTCACCGATTGGACTGAACAAGATGGTTTAATATTCTACCGAAACCGATGCTACGTGCCTGCAGACCAAGAATTACGACGTGATTTAATCCGACAATACCACGACACACCAGCAGCAGGCCACCCCGGAAAATTCAAAACACTAGAACTGCTACGACGAGACTACTGGTGGCCAGGGATGTATGTCATGGTCTCCCGCTATGTCGAAGGATGTGCACTCTGTCAACAAAACAAACCAAACACACATCCGACAACACCACCACCACAACCAATCGCAGCCACCAATGTGACACGACCATTTCAACATGTATCCATCGACCATATCACCAATCTGCCCGTGTCCCATGGGTATGATAGTATTCAGGTCGTGGTCGACCAAGGCCTTACGAAGGGGGTAATCCTTGCACCCTGCAAGAAAACAATTGACGCAATGGGGACTGCAACATTGTTCCACCGACATGTATACCGGCGATTTGGCCTGCCAGACAAGATTATATCCGACCGAGGACCACAATTCGTCTTGAACGTCACTAAGGAACTGGGAAGACTCCTTGGAATCACACTCTCCCCCTCAACTGCCTATCATCCAGAAACTGACGGGCAAACCGAATGAATGAATCAAGAGCTTGAAGTCTACCTTCGAATATTCTGCGCCGGACGACCAGACGAATGGGCTGAACACCTGATCAATGCCGAAGTAGCACACAACCAACAAACACACTCGGCACGAAGCACATCACCATTCTACCTCATGATGGGGTACGAACCCCGGCTAATCCCGATTGCTTACCCCAAAACACATGTACCATCTGTGCAAGAACGCCTTACGGAACTCCAGAAGGCACAAGATGAAGCCCTGGCAGCACACGAACTCGCACGACACGTCATGAAAGATCGCTACAAGGGAAAGTTTGTCCAATTCAAGAAAGGACAGAAGGTCTGGCTCGAATCCAAGAACCTGAAACTGGCCTACGCCTCCCGGAAACTTGCACCAAAACGGGAAGGACCTTTTGTCATCACCGAAGTCCTAGGACCCGTGACATATCGCCTAGACCTGCCTCAATCATGGAAGATCCACCCCGTGTTTCACGCATGCCTTCTTTCACCATACAAAGAAACCGAAGTACACGGACCAAACTACACGAGGCCACCCCCTGACATCATCGAGGGAGAAGAAGAATATGAAGTTGAGGCCATCGTTGGTCATCGCAAGCAACGAGGCAGCATGCAATTTCAAATCAAGTGGAAGGGTTACTCATCCGCCGAAAACACATGGGAACCAGAACACGCACTTATCCCGGGATCGGCAAACCTGTTGCAACGGTATAAAAAGGCCAAAAAGCTGCTATAATCCCGGCATGCTGTCGTTTGCAATCGTCTTCGCCCTCTACTGCCTCCTGTCTCTCACACTCACTCTCGCCGTCGTCGCATACGTCCTCCGCGACTTTTCATATCGACTCCTCGAACACACTCTTCACACTCGCGACTATCCTGACAAGTCGACCACTACGTGGTAGGCTTGTACATGCTCGCCATCATCTTAGGCCTCCTCCTCTCTGTCCACTTCCTTCTCCTCACCGCCATCACCCTTTTTGCCCTATCCTTTCTAACTTTCAACCAACTACTCGTCGACTACCGTGACCCCCTCCATCCCGAGAAGGACACCATCTAACAATGCCTGCCAACTCGTGGCCAGCCCGTTTGCAGTATCCACACCCCAACCTCGTCGACCCTGCCAACAGGGAGAACATCCCACCAGGCCGCGCACCGACACCCGCCCGCAGACAGCCCGCACCACCATCACCTACCTCCGACCTCGAGTCTGTCGGCTCTGACGACTCTATTCTCAATGACACCTCCTCCATTCCTCTGGTAAATCAGCTCACTGTGGCCGTCCTAACGGACCCAATCCCCGTCCTGCGAGCGGCACAGCAGCAGCACCCGTACCCTGTGTACCTCCTAGCCGAGTATCGCAACGCATACAACGACCAACGAGACCTTGTCAATCTGGCGGCGAATGCGGAAGACTTACGCAACGAGGCGTCGTCCATCGGAGATGAGCTCGAGGAGGACTTCAACGTCTTGCACAACGAGGCCGAAGCAACCCGGGCACAGGCGCAAATCCTCTACAACCAGTCGCTTCAGCTCTTCGAACGGGCCACCCACCTTCATGACACTGCCGTTCACATTCACCGCATCTCTAGAGAGGCCACCGTAGTAGAGAACATCGCGCAACGCTCCCAAAGCACCCTCGTCCGAGTCAATCAGCGAACTCTACAGCGCCGATGCAACCTCGTTCGCACCTTCGAACAACCCGCCTTCCTCGAGCGCATGCACCCCTACTTCTGGGCGACGGTTGACGACTCAGCACCCCCTCGAGGACAGCGACCGGCAGCGCATTGTACCGTCCCAGGCGCAGCCCGCGACTCCGGCAGCTACCTTCCATTCGGCCACTACCACCTCACTGCAGGCGCCCAGCGGCGACAAGCAGCCAACCAAGCGCTGCCCACTCAAGGGCCACCCCCTGCTTACCACAAGGCCGTCGTACCACCGCCACCCTCACCGCCGCGTCTCCCCAGCCCTATCAAACAGGCTGAAGAACCGGTGCGCGTTCCGTACCGCGAGACCGCCACGCCCGACATCCTTCTCGATGGAAGGAACTCTGGAGGACTTTGATAGGTCAACGACGGGACGTCGTTAGCCATACGAAGGGGGTAATGATACGACGATCCTAACGGTAGAGCGGTACCTTTTCTCTTTTTCCTTTTCTGTCACTCTTCCTCAACCCGTCGTTCACCCGGTAGCATGACGTCATCCCGCTACTGGCTCCCACGGATGTTGTACTTTACTCTCACGCTGTCAGCACTGCCACGTCAGCACCGCCAGTGCTTCGTCAGCACTGCCACTGTGCTTCGTCAGCACTGCCACAGTGCTTCGTCAGCACCGCCACTGTTACGTCACCTTCTTTATCTGTACTACAGTTCTTACTCTACGTAGTAATACTGGACTCTCACGTGACCGGTTTCCTCCATGTATATAAACGCAAGGTATCTCTGCGAGATACCTCAGCTCGACCTGGTTATCCATTGCCTACATCGCTCGAACCCTCGATTGCCCTCGCCTAAAGCCTTGACTCCTAGCGACCTCGTCACGGACTGTGACCGTCGTAGGCATCATCGTAACAGGTGATTCTTTCGTAGGCTTCCTTGTATCCTGGTAGGCTACGGATTTGCTCCGGGGTTATGTCTTCTTCAGGGTAGTCCCAGTTCTTGCCCTTAGGTATTACTAGCACGTTTTCGTAGTATACTAGTCCGGTTGAGGGGTCGAAGGTGACGTCTGGGTATGGGGTTGGTTCCGTGATGGTTTGTTCTTCAGCCCACCGATTTTTCAGGTGGGTTCGAGGTCGGTTTCGATGTTAAGCAGAGTGTCTGGATCGTTCAATGGATCGACGTGGTGTGCGAGCTCGACCTAATGTTACGATGATGCCTACGACGGTCACAGTCCGTGACGAGGTCGCTAGGAGTCAAGGCTTTAGGCGAGGGCAATCGAGGGTTCGAGCGATGTAGGCAATGGATAACCAGGTCGAGCTGAGGTATCTCGCAGAGATACCTTGCGTTTATATACATGGAGGAAACCGGTCACGTGAGAGTCCAGTATTACTACGTAGAGTAAGAACTGTAGTACAGATAAAGAAGGTGACGTAACAGTGGCGGTGCTGACGAAGCACTGTGGCAGTGCTGACGAAGCACAGTGGCAGTGCTGACGAAGCACTGGCGGTGCTGACGTGGCAGTGCTGACAGCGTGAGAGTAAAGTACAACATCCGTGGGAGCCAGTAGCGGGATGACGTCATGCTACCGGGTGAACGACGGGTCGAGGAAGAGTGACAGAAAAGGAAAAAGAGAAAAGGTACCGCTCTTCCGTTAGGATCGTCATATCACAGGCACCCCCCCGTTGTCGCTACTCCCCCACATAGCCCCCTAGATCCTGTGGGCCCCTCAAGGGCCCACTCTAGTTTCGGTCGAGTTCTAGTGTACAGCAGCACCCCGTACATCACCTACAGCGCATAGTTTAGAGCCTACCATAGGGCAAGGCCCTGACGGGCCTTAAACAAGGATTTCATCATCATCATTACCGTGTGTAAGCAGCTCAGTAAGAACCTAGTTTGTGACATCTTCGTCCATTGTCCAATGTGTCAATGCTGCAGAGCAACATTGGTTATCGCCTCGTGGCGTATCGTCGCAAACTACCTTATAATCAAGGTGTGTCCTACCGTGTAGTGGCGACGTCGCCAGCGGCCGCATCATGAGTGTCAGTGTTACCCTTGCTTGACGGAGATCGAGTCGCTTGTCGGGAATGGGAAGACAATTTAGTGCTCAATAATACATATAAGTTTCGAGGAGATCGTGGGTGTTGTACAACCTAGTGTCACGGTGATACGAAAGCTGTGTGGCCAACAGTTCCTCTCCAGTTGTTGTTTTACAACGTACAGCATTCCTCGTATGAACCCTTGGCACAGTGGTAGCGCGTGAGATTCCAGTTCCATCTGCGACACGTAAGCAGATCTCGTGGTTTCCTCAAGGTCGTCCGTTCAATCCGGGCAGGGTTCATTTTTTCCCACGCCCTCGTTTTTGACTCTACATCCTCCCAGGGACACAAGGATACGTTCTCGAGGTCATATGTACCGAACTATACATGATAGAGTCATATTATGTCCAGACCATACGCCTAAAGACTAAGAATCAGAGTGAGATGTACACCGTCCGAAAGTTCGACTACGACTTGACGCAATGACGCAGCATCTCTCTTGAAGAGAGTCGAGACTTAATGAATGGGCGTGTACCGCCTCACGAGAAGCGGCAGTTGATTCCCTCGCTCTGGAGCGCTACGCAAGAGCGGCCGTTGTACGACGGCCGTCTTCTTCATGATGTCTTCTGGGGGCACGGCGAGCTCAAACTCGAACGCGCGGATGAGCACGAAGAGCAGCGCCTTCATCCTGTGAGAAAGTCCCGTCAGATATGAGCCGCGAACCATCGTAAGCGGACTGGGACGTGCTCTACGAGCGAGAAGCGGTAGCCGATGCACGCGCGGGGGCCGCCGAGGAAGGAGAGCAGGTGAGCCCACACGCCGGGGACGCTCGAGACGCGTTCTGGCGGGTTCGCCCAGCGTTCTGGCCTGAGACGCACGGCCGGGTAAGTTAGAGGCGACGAGGAGCACTGAGAGAAGTGCGCCGCCTCACTTGAAGTCATGGGCGTCCTCGCCCCAGAGCTCTTTCGAGCGGTTCAACGCCAGGATGGGGATGAGGATCGGGCTGCCCTTCGAGATCCTAGCACCGGGGTTCAGATCGACATCGAAGAGTGGGACGGAGAACGCTGTGCGACATCACGTACTTGATGCTGTCCTGGAGCTTGCCGTACCGGTCGACGAACGGGCGGCTGACGGGGATCACGTCGTCCTTCATCGCGATACGCATCGTGGACGGCACGGGCGCGTGCACGCGCAGCGTCTCGCGCACGACCGCGTCGAGGTACGGGAGCGCGTTCAGCTCGTCCATCGTCGGGCTGTCGGTGTGCAGCGTGAGGAGCTCGGCCCGGAGCTCTCGCTGCACGTGCGGCGCCTGCGTGAGCGCGTACAGGCACCACGTCGTCGCGGTGCTCGTCGTCTCGTGGCCCGCAACGAGGAACCTGGGGGTTGCGTTCAGTATATGCCAGAGATCTCAGGGATGGCCGGATTGTACGCACGTCGGGACCTCTGCCGAATTCGTGAGTACCAGGTATCTCCGGAACAAGGCTGGCACTTACGGGCTAACACGTCTGTGTCCGACAGCCGCTGGCTGTCCGGGATGTCGGTCGCCATGTTCGCCTTCAGGAGCAGCGTGAGGAGGTCTCTGCCGTGCACGTCCTTCTTCTCTACCGCCCCGTCCTTGCTCTCTGCGAGCTCGCGTCTGATCGCTGCCTTCTTCTCTTGAATGAGCTGTGTGCCGACCCGATGCATAGCCTCCTGTCCACGCTTCACGCGCTTTGATCCCTCGTCGGGCTGAAACGAAGTCTTGCGTCATCCACTCGTTCGCCCCACAACGCTGTGAAACTCACGATGACGTTCAGGATAGGGAATATGTTCTTGAGAAGCATAAGCAGGGTGAAGCCGCCTGTGGGCGGCTTGAACATCTCCTGGAATGCCTCCTGGAGCTCGTTGATCTTGTTCGTAGCCTTCAAAGCGTCAAAGCGGTAGTTAAAACCTACCAGCACAGAATTCGTCAGCAGTTCCGACAACATTCTCAGGACAGTTCGTGTGACGTCTCACCAGCGATTCCGATGACATCGAGGGTCATCTTGTTGAGGTCCTTGAGCACATCTATGCGCACGGGTAAGCTGCCCGAGAGGTCTACCTGAGCGGCCCACACGTCTCGGAGCTATGGGGCTAGCGTCAAAGTCTGTGCGATGTGATCGAGTTACAGGAATGCGCATACTTCGACCGACTTATCAACGAAGATTCTCGTCAATTCGCGGATCTGTGCTGGTCCGAAGGCTGGATTCTGTGCAACGCGGGGCGCTGAGAATCCAAACACTCGATCGCAGGTTCAAGGGGTACGCCCACCATGATGCGTCTCTGTGGAACGACTGTCAGCGATAGTAATGATGCTAGATGGGAAAAGAGAGACAACCTGTTGCCTATGCTGTTCGCCTGAGATACGAAGGCAGTCAGAAGGGTATGTGACGACAGATCAGAACGCCCAGAGGGTGGTTATGGCGCTCAGGCCCGTGTATGTGTTGTCTGCGCGAATCCCGTTGGCTGGTCGGGCCGCAAAACACCTCCGAACTTCAACACTGACAAAACGCACCCTCAGTGATCAGTACACCTGTTGTATCACCAGGGTCAGTTGTGCGCGCCCAGCGGTACCAGGTCGTCTACCTTCTCCCAATATCTTGGCCAGATTCTTCCGCGCGGCGCTAGGCTTCTGGTATTCATTTGAATGGGTCAAAATGTGGTTGAGCGCGCGAGTGTCGAGTGTCCATAGCCGAGCAATCTATGTAACGATATTCAGGTACGTCTGAGATTGAGTAGGACACACGAGCATATACCCCGAAGAACCCCTTATACGTGATGTTAGGGCCGTACTGAGCCGCCCATCGTTCTTGCGGCACAGAGTTGTCCTCGTCCCAGATGATTCTCATGCTGCCAAAGATCCAGCTCGGATTTGGCGGGCCAGGTATGTTCTTCAACGATGTCGAACATGCTCTCCATATGACTGGCCACAACCTCTGGAGCACGTAGAGTGTTGTGACGAGAACGAGCGCAAGGATCATGCTTTGACCGTGCATGACCATTGCAACGGTCAAGGAGGTGGTCCAGGGAAAGGCACGGGCGGCGTTAGATGGAGTCGACGACCAGACGGTAGCAACGCATGATCAAGGCGCTTTGCGGCCAGAGGTCGTCTTCCTCTTCATGACAGACCGTGGGACTGGGGTGGGTTCTTCTGCGTGCCGCACACTCACGCGGCAGCAAGGCACAGCACAGCCACGCACAAACACTTGCTGCAGACTGGGGCGGATGTCGACCGACCAAAACTGGAGCATGTCAGGTGTAGTTTCATGGATCGCGGATATTGTTGGCACTCGCCGATTCAGTCAGTGTTGGAAATCCGATGCAAATACCGCTTCATCAGTGCTGTCCCCACCACGTGCTGTCCCGTACGTTACATAGGCAAAGCCACGCCTCAACACGCATACATACATCGGTTGTTAATCGCAACTGCCGGAAACACACGCGACACCTGCAAACCGCAAACTATTTGAAACACATAGAGAGCCACAAGATGGGTCAACACTCAAGGCAATCAACGGCATCATGAGGATGGCATAAGGTACAGCACTGAATTCAGACTCAAGATTACTAGTATCTACGAGTAACCTGAGTACTAGCAAACCACAAGGTCTTTTTGAACGCAGTGTCGCGTCAGCCGGGGAACCCGAGGTACGAACTCACGAAATCATGGCGATGAGCATCGATGCTCGTTTGGGACTTGTTGGAGTGGCGGCCAGTAGTCCCGTTTATGGCCCACCTAACTGCTGGATTCGGACAAATAAAGCGCTGAAGAGCAGTCTTGGAAGTAATGTATTAGGTATGGCAATATGGGGGGTGGTCAGAATATAGCAGCGCCCTGACTTGGTGGTCGTATGAGTTCAGCATCAGTGGTGTGGCTGTGGCCAGGATCGGCTCAATCTAATCTAATCGTATCTGAAGCTCCCCGATTGCAGCCAAACTGCAGATCCAGTGCAGAGCTTGTTGCAGGCTGCAGCAGTACTGGAGTCGTTCTTGCCGCTTCCTCTCCCTCCCGCAACTTGTTGAAAGATATGTCAGACTCTGCATTACCCCCAGGGACGGCACCAATAAAGCCAGAGTGAGTTACTGCCAACTTCAATGCGGTTCGCTGAGATTGAACGCCCTGACAGATTCCTGGTGTCCGTGCAGCCGCGCGACGTGCCCGACGACGATGCAGCAGAAGGAAGCACAAGCCACTTAAATGGCCGACCAGATGCGGGTCTGGACGCAGGAGTTGCGGGGGATGGTGGAAAGCAGCTCTCGGGCGCGCAGCGCAAGAAGCTCGCGAAGGAGGAGCGCAAGAAACAGCGCGGCGCGAACAAGGGCAGGCGGTTCCAAAAGGTGCGCGACGAGGTCGAGCTCTGCTTCCGAGTAGCGATAGGGAAAGAGTGCGAATTCGGCGACGAGTGCGTTTCTTCTCTTGTTCTCCCGACATCGCCGATATGTCTGACGGTGGTCGGCGCAGGTGCCGCTTCACCCACAATATCCCTGCGTATCTCGCTGCAAAACCCAAGGACATTCATTTTCCTGCATCTGAAGATATATCTGATGCGCCACCATTCGTCCGCCTGCCGGATGTCGAGATGGTAGAACACGGAGACGCGCCGCAGAATTCCTTGGATCCGTCCACTATCTGTCCCGTGTTCCAGCACACAGGCGAGTGCAAGTACGGGCTGAAATGTCGCTTCCTCGGGAACCACGCACGCGCGAAAGAGAACGGGGAGTATGAGGTACTTGTGGACGAGGTGAAGAAGGCCCGCGTCGCTGCGGCCGAGACGGAGGTGAACTTCATGGACGCCGACACACTGCGGAAAATCAGAACCAAAAAGGTACATTCACTCAACCACTTCCTCAGCGATGTCTCCTCATCCGTCCAGCTCCCTAGTATCCGCATCCCATTGCGGACGCATACTTGAAGGAACTGCGGGACAACGCAACTGACGAGGGGAATCCCAAAGAGATTGTCGTCGTCCCTGAAGTTAACGGGGACGCGCTCGAGGGCGAAGTCAAAGTCGAGATAGCCGCCTATCAAGACCAGACGACCCCAGGGGACAAGTCGCAAAATGACACGCCAGATGTTCCTCTACGCGCCGAAGAAAAGAAGCGGCTTCACTGGGCAGGGAAGACATGTGGGTATCTCGCATCACGGCAATGGCGCGCCACTTAACCTGGACATTGGTAGACCTCGCGCCGCTAACGACAGTCGGCAACTTGGTACGCCCACGCAATCATATAGCACAGCACATTCCTGACTATCTGCGGTTTGTAGCCCTTCCGCAGGTTATGT